GCAGCGGCCCGGAGACGGACAGCCTCCGTGTTGACTCCGCTCTGGAACACATGCTAACCTGTTAGCATGCTAGCAGCGCCGGCCCGGTGACGCGCCGCCTCTGGTCGCCTACAGCGGGGACACCTGCAGAGCAGAGCCCGGGCCGAGCACCGGGCACCAGCAGCACAGACCAGGACCGGGGCTGTGGCTCGGTACCGGGTCTGTGGACTCTGAGCAAACACTCAGAAACCTGGACTCAGCTGCTGAAAAAGTTCACAGCTGATCAACATGATCGACCAGCTCTGATCGATCACGTTGATTGATGGTTTGGGTTCTGGACTGAAACTCTGATCCTGACCAGATTCACTGTCTGATGAGTTTAAGGATCAATATAATCAATGGAAATCAGATGTGTGCAGTCAGCTGACCCGGTTCGAGTGGTTCTAGTGGTTCTACAGGTTCTACTGGAAGCTGACGTCCTGAGTTCAGAACCATCATATTAACTTGGTTTCAGCAGAACAGCTGTGAAACCAACAGGGTAGAGAAGTAGTCCCATCACCTCCCTACAGCCTGCTGCTGGCACCAGAACCTGTTCTATGGTTCTGACCCGGGTGGTTCTCTCCTGACCAGATCCTTGCTGCTGCTCTCAGATGGATGTCGCTTTGGATCAAAGCGTCTCCTGAATAAGTTCAAACCAGATCCAAACAATGAATTGAAGCTGAACTCAGATCTTTAAAGTTCCACAGAGAACCGAAAGACAGAAACTGGATCACGGTACTTTTAGCGAGGTACCGTTTCACCGGCACCAGCTGTGATCACGGCCGCTAACGAACCAAACATTTCTGCTGTCGTGAAGCCGGCGGCCTGCTGCCCCGAGGCCTCCAGCCGTTAATAATGTGGAGGTTCTGGTTTTCTGTTTTCAGCTGGGTTCAGTTTGAAGCAGTGACTGATCAGGTAATGCTCACCTGTCTGTCCACCTGTACAGCGTTGCCGTGGCAATGAGCAGTAACGAGTGCTTCGGTTGCGGCCGCAGCGGCCACTGGGTGAAGAACTGTCCGAGCGGCGGCCGAGGACGAGGAAAAGGTCGAGGACGAGGCAAAGGTGACGCACACGCAGTCCTTCTGCTTTTGAATGTTGACACATCTGCTTCTGCTCCTGTGAGCCATTAACCAATCAGAATGTTGATCAGTCTCACCTGGTTTGTGTTTCAGACCTGTTCTGTTACCGCTGTGGGGAACTCGGACACGTGGCCAGAGACTGTGAGCGGACTGAGGATGGTGAGGACACACAGTGTTTACAGCTGAACTCCTGATGAACCTTCACTGAAAACACTTTCACCTGAGACAGGTAGAGGCAGCGCAGAGTTAGACAGGTGCAGCCAGGTGAGGTCTGACCGCTGTCTTACCCGCAGCTTGCTACAACTGCGGCCGAGGAGGACACATCTCCAGAGACTGCAAGGAGCCCAAGAAGGAGCGTGAGCAGCTCTGCTACAACTGCGGCAAGGCGGGTCACATGGCGCGCGACTGCAACCACGCCCACGAGCAGAAGTGCTACTCCTGCGGCGGCTTCGGACACATCCAGAAGTGCTGCGAGAAGGTCAAATGCTACAGGTGAGCACCTGAGACAGATAAACCAACAGCACACAGGTGGAACTAATCGGTCCAATCAAAAGGGACGGAAAAGGGCACAAAAAACCAGAAGTACAAACACAAGGAAAGGCCATTTCAAAATAAAACAGGAAGTCACAGAAGAGGGACATAAAAGCTACAGAAACACCAACAGAGACAGGAAACACATAAACAGAACAAACTGGTTATACTGGGTACAGGACTACTAGTCTAACCAGTCCAAACATTCTGACCAGTACAACTAGTCTGACCAGTGTAACTAATGTTCTCAGTCCAACCAGTCGAACCATTTTGACCAGTATAACTAGTTTGACTAGTATAATCAATGTTCCCAGTATAACCAGTCCAACCATTGTGACCAGTATAACTAGTATGACCAGTATAATCAATGTTCCCAGTATAACCAGTCCAACCA